ATAACGCGTTTCGGCTGTAACATACTGCCCACAGAAAGAGTCGTGTTTTATGGCTGAAACAAGAAGAATGACGCGTTTCGGCTGAAACAGAAAGAAGAATCACGCTTTTTGGATGAAACAAAGAAGAATCACGCGTTTCGGCTGTAAGAGGAATAACGCGTTTCAGCTGTAACATATTGCCCACAGAAAGAAGAGTCATGTGTTTTGGCTGAAACACACTGCCCACAGAGAATTACACATTTCAGCTGAAACAGAAAGAAGAATCACTTTTTTCGGCTGACACAAAGAAGAATCACGTTTCGGCTGTTACAGACAAAACGCGTTCGACATTACCAGTGTATTGTCCACGTGGCCAATAAAGTATCTTCGTCTTACAGATTACGCCGGGTGCTGCTCAGCTGTGTTTCGGATTCCTTGGAGGGAACACTTCAGACTCAGCACCGGTTTCCAGCCACAAGAAGCCGTGTGAACAGTCACACTTGGATACCGGGGTTCAAGTCATGGCGTAGAAGTGTAAATGACCTATGACCCAAGGAAAGGTTCTGTAGTTCAGAGGGACTTTTGCGGGGATTCCAGGACACTTTAGTGCAGCACCTCTTAAGGGACTGAAGGTTATCTTGAGCGGTAAGACGGGGCGCATCCCAAGGCATCATTCACACAGGCAAACCTTCATGTGCAAGATGAAGCCAGCAGAGGGCGTATCTAAGTGTGGCGGGTTAAAACATTTATTGGAGTAGACAAGCGACAACTTACACAACACACAAGGGGCAGCGCTGACGGCTGAACAAATTCCTCTGTGGGGTCTTCTGTGGGCAGTTCCTCAACTGGGAAAGTTAGGTGGAGAAGCTCATGAATAATAAGTCACTGTGGCCCCGGTCTCTGCGTCTCATGGGAGCCCTCAGGATGGCCGAGATGTAGCAGAGTGCGGCAGCCTCTGGGATTCTATGATGGGGGCCCTCAGGATGGCCGAGATGTAGCAGAGTGCGGCAGCCATTGGGATTCTATGATGGGGGCCCTCAGGATGGCCGAGATGTAGCAGAGTGCGGCAGCCATTGGGATTCTATGATGGGAGTCCTCAGGATGGCCGAGATGTAGCAGAATGCGGCAGCCTCTGGGATTCTATGATGGGGGCCCTCAGGATGGCCGAGATGTAGCAGAGTGCAGCAGCCATTGGGATTCTATGATGGGGGCCCTCAGGATGGCCGAGATGTAGCAGAGTGCAGCAGCCATTGGGATTCTATGATGGGGGCCCTCAGGATGGCCGAGATGTAGCAGAGTACGGCAGCCTCTGGGATTCTATGATGGGGGCCCTCAGGATGGCCGAGATGTAGCAGAATGCGGCAGCCTCTGGGATTCTATGATGGAGGCCCTCAGGCTGGCCGAGATGTAGCAGAGTACAGCAGCCATTGGGATTCTATGATGGAGGCCCTCAGGATGGCCGAGATGTAGCAGAGTGCAGCAGCCATTGGGATACTATGATGGAGGCCCTCAGGATGGCCGAGATGTAGCAGAGTGCGGCAGCCATTGGGATTCTATGATGGGGGCCCTCAGGATGGCCGAGATGTAGCAGAGTACAGCAGCCATTGGGAATCTATGATGGGGGCCCTCAGGATGGCCGAGATGTAGCAGAGTGCGGAAGCCTCTGGGATTCTATGATGGAGGCCCTCAGGATGGCCGAGATGTAGCAGAGTACAGCAGCCATTGGGATTCTATGATGGGGGCCCTCAGGATGGCCGAGATGTAGCAGAGTACGGCAGCCTCTGGGATTCTATGATGGGGGCCCTCAGGATGGCCGAGATGTAGCAGAGTACAGCAGCCATTGGGATTCTATGATGGGGGCCCTCAGGATGGCCGAGATGTAGCAGAGTGCAGCAGCCATTGGGATTCTATGATGGGGGCCCTCAGGATGGCCGAGATGTAGCAGAGTGCGGCAGCCTCTGGGATTCTATGATGGGGGCCCTCTCAGGATGGCCGAGATGTAGCAGAGTGCAGCAGCCATTGGGATTCTATGATGGGGGCCCTCAGGATGGCCGAGATGTAGCAGAGTGCAGCAGCCATTGGGATTCTATGATGGGGGTCCTCAGGATGGCCGAGATGTAGCAGAGTACGGCAGCCATTGGGATTCTATGATGGGGGCTCTCAGGATGGCCGAGATGTAGCAGAGTGCAGCAGCCATTGGGATTCTATGATGGGGGCTCTCAGGATGGCCGAGATGTAGCAGAGTACGGCAGCCATTGGGATTCTATGATGGGGGCCCTCAGGATGGCCGAGATGTAGCAGAGTACGGCAGCCTCTGGGATTCTATGATGGGGGCCCTCAGGATGGCCGAGATGTAGCAGAGTACGGCAGCCATTGGGATTCTATGATGGGGGCCCTCAGGATGGCCGAGATGTAGCAGAGTACGGCAGCCATTGGGATTCTATGATGGGGGCCCTCAGTATGGCCGAGATGTAGCAGAGTGCGGCAGCCATTGGGATTCTATGATGGGGGCCCTCAGGATGGCCGAGATGTAGCAGAGTGCGGCAGCCATTGGGATTCTATGATGGGGGCCCTCAAGATGGCCGAGATGTAGCAGAGTACGACAGCCATTGGGATTCTATGATGGGGGCCCTCAAGATGGCCGAGATGTAGCAGAGTACGACAGCCATTGGGATTCTATGATGGGGGCCCTCAGGATGGCCGAAATGTAGCAGAGTACAGCAGCCATTGGGATTCTATGATGGAGGTCCTCAGGATGGCCGAGATGTAGCAGAGTACGGCAGCCATTGGGATTCTATGATGGGGGCCCTCAGGATGGCCGAGATGTAGCAGAGTGCGGCAGCCATTGGGATTCTATGATGGAGGTCCTCAGGCTGGCCGAGATGTAGCAGAGTACAGCAGCCATTGGGATTCTATGATGGGGGCCCTCAGGATGGCCGAGATGTAGCAGAGTACAGCAGCCATTGGGATTCTATGATGGGGGCCCTCAGGATGGCCGAGATGTAGCAGAGTGCGGCAGCCATTGGGATTCTATGATGGGGGCCCTCAGGATGGCCGAGATGTAGCAGAGTGCGGCAGCCATTGGGATTCTATGATGGAGGTCCTCAGGCTGGCCGAGATGTAGCAGAGTACAGCAGCCATTGGGATTCTATGATGGAGGTCCTCAGGATGGCCGAGATGTAGCAGAGTACGGCAGCCATTGGGATTCTATGATGGGGGCCCTCGGGGTGACCGAGATGTAGCAGAGTACGGCAGCCATTGGGATTCTATGATGGGGGCCCTCAGGATGGCCGAGATGTAGCAGAGTACAGCAGCCATTGGGATTCTATGATGGGGGCCCTCAGGATGGCCGAGATGTAGCAGAGTACAGCAGCCATTGGGATTCTATGGACGGTAAAGAGAGCCTTTGAGAACACCACAGGACCGTAAGTTGGCCAGGGTGGCACCAGAAGTGATGTCACGTTTGTCCAGATGTGGGGGCGTGGCTGTGCTGCTCATCTCGGTGGAGGAACTACGTATTGTGCCCACAGAAGACTCACCCCGGAGGCATTTGTTTTCTGACGTGAACGCTGCCCCCTGCCTGCTGTCTACTACAACATGTGTTTTGAACCACTACACTTAGATGCGCCCTCTGCTGTCTTCCTCTTGCCCGTGTGAATGAGGCCTTGGGCTGCAGGCTCCAGCTGTCTCTCTCTTTCTTTCTCTCTCTTTTACAAATTAGTGACCTGCAGCTATGAAGCGACTGAATTCGGGACTTTGTACAAGAACGGTGAACTTGGTCCCGGTCAGGAAATTACGGAGGAGTGAAGTGAGAGACGGTGGTGCAGCTTTCGCTTTCAATGTATAACTAAAAGGCAGAGAGGTCAGAACCCGGCAGGATCTAATTTCTGTGTCCCATTCGGGAGATTTCTCTTCATTTCCTGTCCCAGAGCCAGACCCAGAATCTGGGATTTTCCTTCACTTTCACTCTTGGTGAGATCGGTAAACAGAACAGAGAGAGAGTGAATCTACCGTTCTGGAGATTCACCATCTCTGACATGTTTTCCCTACAATTTTGGGCTGACACCAAAACAGGCATAGAGGGGCCAATCTATGCCTCCAAAGTGAGGCTTGTCACCAGAACTTGTGTCCCCATTGAAAGATTGGCCCCTCTGTGCCTGTTCTGGTGTCAGCCCAAAATTTTAGATTTTCTTTCACTCTCGGTGATAACCCCATTGGGGTGTTCTCTCCTCACTTCCCTTTTGGGTGCAACTCCGCTTTAGGACTGGTTTACAAGGGTCGGGTGTGGTTTAGATGTGGCAATGCCATTCTAGGAGGGCGCCTCTCCCTGCACCCCAAATGAAGTGCACCTACAATGCTGCATGCAGAGGTTTGGGGGTGCACAGATGAGTGGAGCTCATCACCCATGCAGATAGTCCCAGACATGGACAGCAATGTAAATGAACCTCAGAGGGAAGTGTCGGGTCCCCCCCCCACCCACTGACACTCTTCTTTTCTGCTCTCCCCCACCAATGCATTATTCCTTTGTCTCCAACACCATCCAACATGCAGATTACACAGGACAGAGTTCATCTTCTGGCTGCCCTTCCTCATGTGAAACATTTTGGCTTTCCAGGCCGCAGCACTGCATTGTGGGTGGAGGTCACATGCTCCTCGTACCCAGAAGTGCTGAGGGCTCTAATGGAGCAGAAAAGAAGTGGAATCAGTGGGTGGGGGTGGGGGGGTTCTCTAAAAAGACAGCCTGCCACAAGTGACAGATTCTCTTTAAATGACCTGTGGCAGCTCCCATAATCCTCTGCTGACAGGTCCCCTTTAAATCAGGTAAACCTTCTGAGGCAGCGAGCAGTTCAGGTATTTTGGTCATGTGACTGGAGTGTGACAAATGTGAGGGCGGAATACAAGTACTGGCAGGATTTCACTTCGTTTGGTCCTCCTGGCGGCTCAAAGAGCGCAGCTTGTGGCTCTGAGCCGTTACCCATTTTGGTCCCCACTGTCCCATTGATCTGCTGTCCTATCAGCTGTCATCTCCTCTTCTTCTCCTCTGTCAGCTGTTTGATTTGTCGGCTGTAGACCACCTGTATTCCGGCTTTGGCATTGAGATGAGCCTCGAGTGCCGCGTGGAGGTCATTGACTCTCAGGTCAGGGGCGTGGTTGAAGCCGATGATTTGGGACCCGTCGCTCTCCATCGCTTCATTCGCAAGTTCTCTCTTCCGTCTCCGGAGATCCAATTCGTTCTGCAGCTTCAGGTCTCGGTTGGGTTTGCCCTGCTCGTTATCTGGCGCTGCCCCGTCTTTGCTGTCTTCCATCTTGTTCTCACCAGCAACCTTCTCAGCAATGGCTGGTATTGCGGGCTCTTTCCCTGCTGCTGCATTAGCCTGGTTGTGAAGTTCCTTAGGGTTGGGTTCCTTTGGAACATTGATGTTAGAACTTGGTCTTTGCAGATCTCGGTCCACTCTTTGAACTTTGACCTCTTTAGGTCCTTCCCCTCCTGAGGCTGGGCTTTCTGCTGCTCCAAGCTTCCCGCTGTTATTTTTACCACTTTATCCCCCGGGGCATGCGGTTCTACAACAAGCTTGTGCTCCGGAGGACCAGGCAAGGCCTCATTCACTTTGGCTTTCAGGTCACCATCTTGGTTTTTGAGCAGGTTCTTGTCCTGGTTTTGCTTCTTCAGTGCCCTGTCCTCTTCATGGCCTGGCTTCTGTATATGGACAACCTGCTCAGCTTCTGCTTTTTGTTGTGGAATGTCAACCCTCTGAAGAGCAGGGTGATCCTCTGTCTTCTTCACCATCTCAGGCTCCGGGGCCTTATTCATGACATTCGGATCTTTATTGTTCTGCAGCACAGCGTTTTCCTTGGCGATTTTCATCTCAGGAACAGGCAAGCCAGCTATATTTGTGTCTTTTCTCTGCTCTTCCTTCCGGGGGTTTGCAATGGGCTCCTTGTTATTAACGGGATCTTTTTCATCTGCTTTTCCCGCTTTCATTTCTTCTTTACTCCGCGGATGTTCTGGAGCGAGGCCCTCTGCCTTGTCACCTAAAAACAATACAAAGGAGCCCATGTGGTGACATTGTGATTGGTCCAATACAACAGAACAATACACCAGCCTTTCTGAACCTTTTTAACAAGGAAGAACCCTTGAAGTAACTTCTCAGGAACCCCTGCTAATTATTAAAAAGAATTGTGTTCTGTTACAGTGTGACGGGAGTCACTATGGGTGGGGGGCCCATGGAACACAGCTCACTTTGGGTGGGGGGGCCCATGGAACACAGCTCACTCTGGGTGGGGGGCCCATGGAACACAGCTCACTCTGGGTGGGGGGCCCATGGAACACAGCTCACTCTGGGTGGGGGGCCCATGGAACACAGCTCACTCTGGGTGGGGGGCCCATGGAACACACCTCACTCTGGGTGGGGGGCCCATGGAACACACCTCACTCTGGGTGGGGGGCCCATGGAACACACCTCACTCTGGGTGGGGGGCCCATGGAACACACCTCACTCTGGGTGGGGGGCCCATGGAACACACCTCACTCTGGGTGGGGGGCCCATGGAACACAGCTCACTTTGGGTGGGGGGCCCATGGAACACAGCTCACATTGGTGAGGTGGGGAGACCCCTGTCTCAGCTCCCCATATCCCTCTTATGTGTAAGTCACCCTGTGCCTATTAGGGGTACAGGGTGACCTGTTCTAATATTGGGGTGGGGGGGGTTGTTGATTGTTTAATGCCATGTGATTGCATCCCATTGTTCTATTGTGCGTCTTGCTTGGGAGCAAACTATTATGGGATGTATGTGTTTGTGTATTGGCTTGGTGGTGGGGGGGGGGGGGGGGGAAGGGTTGTCTCCAGCAGCCCTCCCTCCTGATGGGACTGTCTGTTGGTGTGTCTCTTGTTACTAAAGGTAGATTGCCACACCCTGTGTCATTATGCAGGGGGGGGGGGTTGTTCCCCTGAGTGTATATATCTTGTATCTGTGTTAAAATAAACTAGTCTGTTTCCTGGTTTACTTCAAGATTGGTGTCATCTAGTCTTGTATGGTCAGCGGTGGTGTCAGTGGTTGGTGTTCGGACGGGGAGGAAGCGGTAGTCTAACGGAAGTACCCCAGTGCAGTCCGGGGTCAGTTCCGTTACATACAGGCATACCCTCCCTCTGGCATCAGGTGAAGGCTCCTGACAGTCCCAAACTGTTGCAGATATATGGCCCCCCAGTCCTTATCCACTTCCACATTGGAAGGTTTTTACCTCTCTTCATGACCAGGTCATTTTCTGCTACTCAGCACTGCGCTACTAACTGGCAATACCGCGGTCATGTAACGCTGTACCCAAAAGACATTTATACAATTTTTTTCACACAAATAAAGCTTTCTTTTGGTGGCCTTTATTCACCGCTTTTTGTTTTTTTACTTTTTACTATATAAACAAAAAAAGGCCTAAAATGGAAAAAAAAAAACCTATATTTTCTACTTTCTATAATGAAAAGTATCAAAAAAAATCAAATGTATTCAAAAAATTTAGGCCAAAATGTATTCTGGTGCAAATCCCAATAAGTGTACCACTTGCCCTCCATAGGATTTCACCCCCCCCCCCCCCCCCCCTCCCCCCTGGATCCCGACCAGGTCATTTTCTGTGATACGGCGCTGGTTTATTTCAATTGACAATTGCGCGGTTCCCCTGCTGGTGCTCCTGACTCCTCTACCCCTCCAAGTGCCTCCAGAGCAACCCACATTGCTAGAGGGGCAGACATGTGTGCTCGCTCCTGACCCCAGCGCTGATGGAGAGGGGTGGGGGAGGGTCAACCTAGGATGCTGTGCAGGCAGCTGACATGCTCTTTATCAACTGATGATGTCATTGGTTGTCAGAGCGCCGGTGGCTAGAAGGTCGTTACGGTGCAAAATGAAAACCGGGGGTTTTGTGTAACTAAAAGGCCGGCTTGTTCCACCCGCTGGCTTGTTTTGGGAAATTTTTAGACATTTTTCCAAGGTACCCCTGAAGAAACCTCAAGGCACCCCTGAAGAAACCACAAGGCACCCCTGAAGAAACCTCAAGGCACCCCTGAAGAAACCACAAGGCACCCCTGAAGAAACCTCAAGGCACCCCTGAAGAAACCTCAAGGCACCCCTGAAGAAACCTCAAGGCACCCCTGAAGAAACCTCAAGGCACCCCCCTGAAGAAACCACAAGGCACCCCTGAAAAAACCTCAAGGCACCCCTGAAGAAACCACAAGGCACCCCTGAAGAAACCTCAAGGCACCCCTGAAGAAACCTCAAGGCACCCCCCTGAAGAAACCTCAAGGCACCCCTGAAGAAACCTCAAGGCACCCCCTGAAGAAACCTCAAGGCACCCCTGAAGAAACCTCAAGGCACCCCTGAAGAAACCTCAAGGTACCCCTGAAGAAACCTCAAGGCACCCCTGAAGAAACCTCAAGGCACCCCTGAAGAAACCTCAAGGCACCTCGGTTAAGAAAGGCCGCCATACACAATGGCTGGTTCAAATGAATCAAAAAATGTCCCAGACCTGAACGCAATAGGCTGGAACCTGACTCAGATGCTGTCATCGCGGTCCACGACACATCAGCCACTGCTAACTTAGATGTAGGTAAATGTTCATCAAGTTCAAGCCCAAAAAACCCAGAAATGTGCGTTATCCTAGACCCTCGGTGTCATCTCCTCCCTTCTGACGGCTCCCATTGACCTCACCTTGCTGCTCCTGGTGGATCTCCATGTGCTGCTCTTTGATCACCGCCAACAGCTTCTCCTGCTGGTCCAGAAGACGTTTCTGCTGCACTTGTTGCTCTTTAATGACTTGTAACAAGATGGCGTGATCCAACAGCTCCGCCTTCCCGGCTTCTGCGTGCGCAACAAAGAACACAAACACTCAGTGAGAAGACAAGTCAATGTTCTCCGTCCACAAATCGAACTTCTAGATTTGCCCCAATCATTTCCCTTCACTGAACACCTGATGGATTTTCTGGATTTTGCTTTTCAACCAAAATTTTACGGGAAATTGTCCTTTTAGCGTTTGACCACATTTTATGTATTTCTATATTTATAGGCGATTGGTTTTATATAGAGGTATTAAGGATTATGAAAAGTTGAAAGGTGTTAGGCTTTTCTAAGGCAGGCAATATAGTTCCATAGTTAGTCTGGCTGAAAAAAGACAAAAGTCCATCCAGTTCAACCATTAAAAAAAAAAAAAAAAAAGTTATAATCCTCCACCCACAGTGGATCCAGAGGAAGGCAAAAAACCCAGCAAAGCATGATCCAATCTGCTCCTGCAGGGGAAACATTCCTTCCTGATCCCCCGAGAGGCAATCAGATGTTCCCGGGGATCACCTTTCCCTATAAATGTTATATCCAGTTATATTCTGTGTATCCAAGAAAGAATCCAGGACTTTCCTACAGCAATCCACTGAGCTGGCCACAACCAACTCTGGAGGGAGTCTATTCCACATTCTCACAGCTCTTACTGTGAAGAAACCTTTCCGTGTTTGGAGATTATATACTGAGAAATCCTAAAGTATTCAGACCCCCGTCACTGTTTCCAATGTTGTGATGTTGCAGCCTGATACCACAGTTGTTTCAATCCATTTCTCTCATTAACCCCTCCCACTTCAGAGGATTCCCCCGACCAGGCCATTTTTTGCACTGCATTACTTTAGCTGACAATTGCGCGGTCATGCAACGCCGCACCCAAATGAAATTTTTTCCCACAAACAGCGCTTTCTTTCGGTGGTATTTGATCGCACAGACACTGTACTAATGGCACTGGGCAGGAAGGGGTTAACATGTGGGGCGATCAAAGGGTTAACTGTGTGCTGGGTGTGTTTCACTGTACGCATGCTGTTATGCAGAGCCATACAAAAGCACTGTGCAGGAGCTGGCGGGGGAGGGATCTGTGTTGTTTTTTTGCACGGGTCTCTCCCCATTCGGTAATTCTTGGAGATTGCTGGGTGCTGGTCACCGTCCGGGACCCGGTGATTGACGGCCGAGGCCACAAAAGGCAGCACAGGTAAGGCACGCACGCACCCCCTACCCGGAACTGCACATATACGTGATTTTGCACACCCGTGCCGCCCTGTCGCAGTATTTCTGCTATAGGGCGGCGCGGAAATGGTTATGCCAATGTGATATCAGTTTTTCCTTTTTAATAAATTCACAGATATTTTTGAAATTCTGTTTTCACTTCGTCATTATCTGGTGCTGAGTGTAGATTAATGAGAAAAAAATGAATTTAGCTGCAACACAACATTGAAGAGTAAAGGGGGTCTGAATACTTTATGAATGCACTGTATAGTATGTATATGCTGGATATGGAAAGGATAGGCTGCGTCATCCTGAATAAGAAGAGTCTTGGTGATGTCACTGGTCTCTAATGATCGGATAGGCTGCGCCATCATGAATATGTAGAGTCTTGGTGATGTCACTGGTCTCTAATGATCGGATAGGCTGCGTCATCATGAATAAGAAGAGTCTTGGTGATGTCACTGGTCTCTAATGATCGGATAGGCTGCGTCATCATGAATATGTAGAGTCTTGGTGATGTCACTGGTCTCTAATGATCGGATAGACTGCGTCATCATGAATAAGAAGAGTCTTGGTGATGTCACTGGTCTCTAATGATCGGATAGGCTGCGTCATCATGAATAAGAAGAGTCTTGGTGATGTCACTGGTCTCTAATGATCGGATAGGTTGCGCCATCATGAATATGTAGAGTCTTGGTGATGTCACTGGTCTCTAATGATCGGATAGGCTGCGCCATCATGAATATGTAGAGTCTTGGTGATGTCACTGGTCTCTAATGATCAGATAGGCTGCGTCATCATGAATATGTAGAGTCTTGGTGATGTCACTGGTCTCTAATGATCGGATAGGCTGCGTCATCATGAATAAGAAGAGTCTTGGTGATGTCACTGGTCTCTAATGATCGGATAGGCTGCGTCATCATGAATAAGAAGAGTCTTGGTGATGTCACTGGTCTCTAATGATCGGATAGGCTGCGTCATCATGAATAAGAAGAGTCTTGGTGATGTCACTGGTCTCTAATGATCGGATAGGCTGCGTCATCATGAATATGTAGAGTCTTGGTGATGTCACTGGTCTCTAATGATCGGATAGGCTGCGTCATCATGAATAAGAAGAGTCTTGGTGATGTCACTGGTCTCTAATGATCGGATAGGCTGCGTCATCATGAACAAGAAGAGTCTTGGTGATGTCACTGGTCTCTAATGATCGGATAGGCTGCGTCATCATGAATATGTAGAGTCTTGGTGATGTCACTGGTCTCTAATGATCGGATAGGCTGCGTCATCATGAATATGTAGAGTCTTGGTGATGTCACTGGTCTCTAATGATCGGATAGGCTGCGCCATCATGAATATGTAGAGTCTTGGTGATGTCACTGGTCTCTAATGATCGGATAGGCTGCGTCATCATGAATATGTAGAGTCTTGGTGATGTCACTGGTCTCTAATGATCGGATAGGTTGCGCCATCATGAATATGTAGAGTCTTGGTGATGTCACTGGTCTCTAATGATCGGATAGGCTGCGTCATCATGAATAAGAAGAGTCTTGGTGATGTCACTGGTCTCTAATGATCGGATAGGCTGCGTCATCATGAATAAGAAGAGTCTTGGTGATGTCACTGGTCTCTAATGATCGGATAGGCTGCGTCATCATGAATAAGAAGAGTCTTGGTGATGTCACTGGTCTCTAATGATCGGATAGGCTGCGTCATCATGAATAAGAAGAGTCTTGGTGATGTCACTGGTCTATAATGATCGGATAGGTTGCGCCATCATGAATAAGAAGAGTCTTGGTGATGTCACTGGTCTCTAATGATCGGATAGGCTGCGCCATCATGAATATGTAGAGTCTTGGTGATGTCACTGGTCTCTAATGATCGGATAGGCTGCGCCATCATGAATATGTAGAGACCAGTGACATCACCAAGACTCTACATATTCATGATGACGCAGCCTATCCGATCATTAGAGACCAGTGACATCACCAAGGCTCTACATATTCATGATGACGCAGCCTATCCGATCATTAGAGACCAGTGACATCACCAAGACTCTACATATTCATGATGGCGCAGCCTATCCGATCATTAGAGACCAGTGACATCACCAAGACTCTACATATTCATGATGACGCAGCCTATCCGATCATTAGAGACCAGTGACATCACCAAGACTCTACATATTCATGATGGCGCAGCCTATCCGATCATTAGAGACCAGTGACATCACCAAGACTCTACATATTCATGATGGCGCAGCCTATCCGATCATTAGAGACCAGTGACATCACCAAGACTCTACATATTCATGATGACGCAGCCTATCCGATCATTAGAGACCAGTGACATCACCAAGACTCTACATATTCATGATGGCGCAGCCTATCCGATCATTAGAGACCAGTGACATCACCAAGACTCTTCTTATTCATGATGACGCAGCCTATCCGATCATTAGAGACCAGTGACATCACCAAGACTCTTCTTATTCATGATGACGCAGCCTATCCGATCATTAGAGACCAGTGACATCACCAAGACTCTTCTTATTCATGATGACGCAGCCTATCCGATCATTAGAGACCAGTGACATCACCAAGACTCTTCTTATTCATGATGACGCAGCCTATCCGATCATTAGAGACCAGTGACATCACCAAGACTCTACATATTCATGATGACGCAGCCTATCCGATCATTAGAGACCAGTGACATCACCAAGACTCTACATATTCATGATGACGCAGCCTATCCGATCATTAGAGACCAGTGACATCACCAAGACTCTACATATTCATGATGGCGCAGCCTATCCGATCATTAGAGTCTTGGTGATGTCACTGGTCTCTAATGATCGGATAGGCTGCGTCATCATGAATATGTAGAGTCTTGGTGATGTCACTGGTCTCTAATGATCGGATAGGCTGCGTCATCATGAATATGTAGAGTCTTGGTGATGTCACTGGTCTCTAATGATCGGATAGGCTGCGCCATCATGAATATGTAGTGTCTTGGTGATGTCACTGGTCTCTAATGATCGGATAGGCTGCGTCATCATGAATATGTAGAGTCTTGGTGATGTCACTGGTCTCTAATGATCGGATAGGCTGCGTCATCATGAATATGTAGAGTCTTGGTGATGTCACTGGTCTCTAATGATCGGATAGGCTGCGCCATCATGAATATGTAGAGTCTTGGTGATGTCACTGGTCTCTAATGATCGGATAGGCTGCGTCATCATGAATATGTAGAGTCTTGGTGATGTCACTGGTCTCTAATGATCGGATAGGCTGCGCCATCATGAATATGTAGAGCCTTGGTGATGTCACTGGTCTCTAGCGATCGGATAGGCTGCGTCATCATGAATATGTAGAGTCTTGGTGATGTCACTGGTCTCTAGCGATTGGATAGGCTGCGTCATCATGAATATGTAGAGCCTTGGTGATGTCACTGGTCTCTAATGATCGGATAGGCTGCGTCATCATGAATATGTAGAGTCTTGGTGATGTCACTGGTCTCTAATGATCGGATAGGCTGCGCCATCATGAATATGTAGAGTCTTGGTGATGTCACTGGTCTCTAATGATCGGATAGGCTGCGTCATCATGAATATGTAGAGTCTTGGTGATGTCACTGGTCTCTAATGATCGGATAGGCTGCGCCATCATGAATATGTAGAGCCTTGGTGATGTCACTGGTCTCTAGCGATCGGATAGGCTGCGTCATCATGAATATGTAGAGTCTTGGTGATGTCACTGGTCTCTAGCGATTGGATAGGCTGCGTCATCATGAATATGTAGAGCCTTGGTGATGTCACTGGTCTCTAATGATCGGATAGGCTGCGCCATCATGAATATGTAGAGTCTTGGTGATGTCACTGGTCTCTAATGATCGGATAGGCTGCGCCATCATGAATATGTAGAGCCTTGGTGATGTCACTGGTCTCTAATGATCGGATAGGCTGCGCCATCATGAATATGTAGAGTCTTGGTGATGTCACTGGTCTCTAGCGATCGGATAGGCCTAATGCTATGTGCAATAAGTAAAAAACGCGCGGCGACCAATCAGCGCACTTTTCATCATTCTGATTGCTCTATACTAATGAAAGCTTCTATCTTATTGGCTGCTATGGAGTACCGCATGGCACATGTCTGCACAGGTTTAGTACATGTTAGCACACAGGTCTACAGCTACACATGCATCGTGTTACACGCCATGCTTACGTTGCTCTAGCCTCCTGAGCTCGGCTGTGAGCATCCCGGGGACAGCGTGGAAAGATGAGAGGAGAGAGAGAAAAGCTGGTTACAACAAAGCACAGAATACACCTCCCTCGCTGCTTCTGATTGGAGGACTAATAGAAACTGAAATCCTATTCCTGAGAAGATATCGGACACAATGAAAACAATAATAGGAGATCTGGTGACAAGGTCTGCTGACAGCCCACCTCCCCAGCAGGTTGCAGCACCTTACACTCGCCTTCATTTTGCTCTCCCAGCTTTCTGGTTACCTCGTGGAGCAAAGAGAACCACCCGGCACTTCCAGGCATGTGACATCCCTAGGGAGGAAAGGGAGTGAGTCCCCAGCACTGTGGAAGCTCTGACTAGGACCAACTTAGAGCTTACGCAGGTCTTTGTCTCACTCTAAGCAGCAAATGGAGCAGCTGGGGACCATAAGGAAGGCAAGTACACTAGAAGGCCAAAAGTAGGCTGACACCTGACCATCACACCTACCTGTATGGCCAAAAGTATATGGACCTCCTCCAAATTATTGAGTTCAGGTGTCTCCAGTGAAGGGTCCTGGTAATACTCCATCATACAAAGACATTGTACACAGTAGTGCTTTTCCAGCCTTGTGGTAACAGTGTGATAAAGACCCTTTTCTATCCCCCCCATGACTGTCCCCTGTGTACAAAGCTAGTTCCATAAAGACATGGAGGACCAGTTTGTTGTCGAGGAACTCCAGTGTCCTGTACAGAGCCCTGACCTCAACCTACTGAACACCTTTGGGATCAACTGGAAAGCCAATGGTGAGCCAGTTCTTTTTTTCCCCGACATCAGTACCTGACTTCACAAATGGACACAAATTCCCGCAGACAACCTCCAATATCTCGTACAAAGCCTTCCCAGCAGATTGGAGGAGGTTATAGCCACAAAGAGGGACTCTATAATAATGGACATGATTTTGGAATGGGGTGTCCACCAAGCACCTATAGATGTGATGTGTGGAGGAACTTCAGTGCCCTATACAGAGCCCTGACCTCAACCTACTGAACACCATTGGGATGAGTTGGAACACTGACGGTGTGCCAGGTCTTCTCATCCAACATCTGTACCTGACCTCAACCCTACTGAACACAATTGGGGTGAGTTGGAACACTGATGGTGAGCCAGGTCTTCTCATCCAACATCAGTACCTGACCTCAACCCTACTGAACACGATTGGGGTGAGTTCGAACACTGATGGTGAGCCAGGTCTTCTCATCCAACATAAGTACCTGACCACAACTCTACTGAACACCATTGGGATGAGTTGGAACACTGATGGTGAGCCAGGTCTTCTCATCCAACATAAGTACCTGACCTCAACTCTACTGAACACCATTGGGATGAGTTGGAACACTGATGGTGAGCCAGGTCTTCCCATCCAACATCAGTACCTGACCTCAACTCTACTGAACACGATTGGGGTGAGTTCGAACACTGATGGTGAGCCAGGTCTTCTCATCCAACATCAGTACCTGACCTCAACCCTACTGAACACCTTTGGGATGAGTTGGAACACTGATGGTGAGCCAGGTCTTCTCATCCAACATCTGTACCTGACCTCAACCCTACTGAACACGATTGGGGTGAGTTCGAACACTGATGGTGAGCCAGGTCTTCTCATCCAACATCAGTACCTGACCTCAACTCTACTGAACACCTTTGGGATGAGTTGGAACACTGATGGTGAGCCAGGTCTTCCCATCCAACATCAGTACCTGACCTCAACCCTACTGAACACCTTTGGGATGAGTTGGAACACTGATGGTGAGCCAGGTCTTCCCATCCAACATCAGTACCTAACCTCACAAATGAGACAAATTCCCACAGACACCCTCCAACATCTTGTGGAAAGTCGTCCTAGAATAGTGGAGGACGTTATAGTCACAAGAGGAGGGGCGACGCCATGGTTTTGGAATGGGATATCCAACAAGCTGACATTGGTGTTCTGGCCATATAGTGTACAAGCTGCGACCAGTTGCTTTGCCCTGAGGAAGGAAGACACAGGTTTACTTTAAAGCTACAGATGCTCAGCACAAGGAGAATGATATTTATAAACTCCAGAATACCCGCAACGCCTGACTTAGTGGAGTGCAACGAGGAGAGGCTGTCATGGAAGGGCAGACCTAAAGAAAAGCACCAACCTTCTTGGCTCTCCCGCTGCCTTCCCGTCAGCATTTCGAACTTCACGCTGCTCAGGTTCTGCATCGCCAGGCGCTGGTGCCTTCTGGTCTTCTGGAAAGACAGCAGAGGAAGGTTAGAGTGTTAACTGCAATGTTTTCACTGTAGGATGCGATCATACGGATCGTCGTGGTAACCCTTTACCACCATGTACTGCAATGTGAATATAACTGGATAGAACATTTATTGGGAAAGTTGATCCAGGGAATATCCGACTGCCTCTCGGGGGATCAGGGCTTCACGGACCACCAATGTAAGGGGGAGCGTCACTGACCACCAATGTAAGGGGGAGCTTCACTGACCACCAATGTAAGGGGGAGCTTCACTGACCACCAATGTAAGGGGGCGCTTCACTGACCACCAATGTAAGGGGGCGCTTCACTGACCACCAATGTAAGGGGGGGGGGGGCTTCACTGACCACCAATGTAAGGGGGGGGCTTCACTGACCACCAATGTAAGGGGGGGGCTTCACTGACCACCAATGTAAGGGGGGGGGCTTCACTGACCACCAATGTAAGGCGGCTTCACTGACCACCAATGTAAGGGGGCTTCACTGACCACCAATGTAAGGGGGCTTCACTGACCACCAATGTAAGGGGGCTTCACTGACCACCAATGTAAGGGGGCTTCACTGACCACCAATGTAAGGGGGGGCTTCACTGACCACCAATGTAAGGCGGCTTCACTGACCACCAATGTAAGGGGGCTTCACTGACCACCAATGTAAGGGGGGGGCTTCACTGACCACCAATGTAAGGCGGCTTCACTGACCACCAATGTAAGGGGGCTTCACTGACCACCAATGTAAGGCGGCTTCACTGACCACCAATGTAAGGGGGCTTCACTGACCACCAATGTAAGGGGGCTTCACTGACCACCAATGTAAGGGGGCTTCACTGACCACCAATGTAAGGTAAACATCACATTTAACATTGTCTGTTTTCCTACTCTGGTCATTATTTTGATTCGTTTTATTTGCAGAAATCAATTCTGTCATACAGAGCAGAGGAGATATCCGAGTTGGTGTGTAAAATAGTCAGTGAAAAGGAATTGTGGGAAATTTGGATACAATTCTTTCGCTCAATATTCGGACTTGTGAGAAGACAGCAATGTTCTCAGGAAAGATGGAACAGCAAAGAGGCAGTTGTCATATATTTACATGAGAACACTTTCTCTTTACCTTCTTGAGTTTGTTTCTTTTGGACTTTCTCAGCTACCACCAGGTCGATTTTTTCTTTCTCCGCAGCTGCCACTTCGGCCTTCTGCAGCTGCTTTTCTAGAACTTTCTCTGCCAGGGCGAGATCGATTCCATCCTTCTCCCCAGCCACCCCCTCGGCATTCTTCAGCTGATTTTCTAGAACTTTCTCCGCCTCGGCCAAATCTATCTGGTCTCCTGGCGCCGGGTCTGCATTCTTCTTGGAATCCACCACTTCGTTCTCAGCTTTGTCTCCTTGTAGATCTTTCTTCGGAGGTGGGACCTCCAGTTCTTTGACGGCAGGCGCATTCTCTAGATCTTTTTTCGCTACCCCTTCCTCCTGGGGAGGCTGCTGAGGTGGGGGTCCATGATCTTCCTTTTGGGGTGGAAGTTGCTGTTCAATTTTGCCCTCTAATTGATCATCCTTGAGACCAGCATCTACCTTGGCCTCGGGGACTACCTTCTCCTCGGACTCCTCGTGGTCCTTCCCTTCATCGACAGCTACTCCGTCCTGCGGAACTGGGGGCTCATGGCGGTGGGCCTCTCCGACGGGTACAGCAATGCCTGGGTCAGGAAGACAGGAAAATGTAGAAACATAAAGCACATCGGATGCAGATTACCAGAGGAAAAGAAGAATAGTCAACCTGACTTGTACCTTCTCCCTTACTCTGAAAGCTCAGCCTTGGTCCCCCCCCCCCCCCTTTATCAACATCCCTTTACTCTCATGTGGCCCCACTGGCAGTGCCAAGGTCTTTTTTTTTATTTTTATACAGGCGTACCTCTGGTTTACGAATGTAATTAGTTCTGCGGGACTTTTCCCGTAAACCGTAAAACTCGTAAACCGAAACGCGGTTTTCCCATAGGAATGCATTGAAAACCAATTAATCCGTTCCGGAGGTCAGAAAAAAAGTTTAAAAAAAAAGTCTTATCTGCTCAAAACTAAGTGCAAAACTAAATACTGTACAGGGACGCGATTAAAAATTAATTTGTAAATGCACTGAAAACCAATTAATCCGTTTGTATTGCGAAAAATATTCGTAAATGCGTTGAAAACCAATGAATCCATTCCAGAGGTGAGAAAAAAGTAAAAAAAAAAGTCTTATCAGTTCAAAACGCAAACACTTGCCATATGGACAATGAATGTCCTGGAGAGGAGATGAAGGGGCAGTGGTCACATTCTGCGGGGGGGGGGGGGGGGGGGGGGGGGGGGGGGGGGGGGCGGTGGGTGATATGACGGCACAGTGATAGATGTAGCAAAGGGTGACACAGGAGTAATATCTAAATCATGGGAATGGACTTTCTGCACTTTAGTGTCACACAAAGGGACCGAAGGTTTGGAAAACACATTATTATGGGATTATTTGTCCTCATTGTCTAGGATCTGTTGTGGGGGAATCCCCATCTCCTGCCTCTGATCCAGGGTACCTTTGTCAGGTCGGTCCAGCTGCACCTCTTCCTGCTTCCTCTTCTCCTCTACTGGTTGGGGGACATCAATGGGGCCCTTAATCTGAGGCTGTTCCACTTCATCCTTCTTCGAAGGTAACTTGGGCTTGTCCCGGTCATCGGCGGGCTCCTCCACGGCAGGTTTCTGGACTGAGAACACAGAACAAACCATCAGATAGAGAACATGGAGACATGGAGATGAGCACAAGACTTTCTATGACTGCCGGACCTCTACCACTGTGTGCAGTTCTTCACATCAGCAGCAGGGGGCGCTATGTGGGCAGCACATACAGGCCAGTGTGTCCAGTTATACAGAATTCTGAGCTGTTTAGCCCCATTCCACTGTGAGTGCTCTGAAGGACAATGACCCCGAGTACCGGACAACGTCTGTTAATTATTTGTTTTTATTCCCTCTGGATTATTGGATGAGGGCACAAGTTATCCGTGCAGAAATATGTCTGTAATGAGCAGAGGAAAGTCTGTCAGAGGTTGTAATATATATCTGGGCATCAGAGATAAAGCCAAAGGGCAAAAGGAGAAGGCAAGGACTTGGGAGCAGAAACAAGGACAGGGAGTGAATGCACAGAGAGAGGGGGATGGGGGGTGCACAGAGAGAGAGGGATGGGGGGTGCACACAGAGAGAGGGATGGGAGAGGGGGGGTGCACAAAGAGGGATAGGAGATGGGGGGTGCAGAGAGAGAGAGATGAGAGATGGGGGGTGCACAGAGAGAGAGAGATGGGGGGTGCACAGAGAGAGAGATGGGAGATGGGGTGCACAGATAGAGAGGGATGGGGGGTGCACAAAGAGGGATAGGAGATGGGGGGTGCAGAGAGAGAGAGATGAGAGATGGGGGGTGCACAGAGAGAGAGAGATGGGGGGTGCACAGAGAGAGAGATGGGAGATGGGGGTGCACAGATAGAGAGGGATGGGGGGTGCACAAAGAGGGATAGGAGATGGGGGGTGCAGAGAGAGAGAGATGAGAGATGGGGGGTGCACAGAGAGAGAGAGATGGGGGGTGCACAGAGAGAGAGAGATGGGGGGTGCACAGAGAGAGAGATGGGAGATGGGGGTGCACAGATAGAGAGATGGGAGATGGGGGTGCACAGATAGAGAGAGATGGGGGGGGCACAGAGAAAGAGATGGGGGAGTGCACAGAGAGAGAGGGATGGGGGGGTGCACAGAGAGAGAGGGATAGGAGATGGGGGGGGGAAACAGAGAGAGAGGGATGGGGGGGGGGGTACACAGAGAGAGAGGGATGGGGGGTGCACAGAGAGAGAGATGGGAGATGGGGGTGCACAGATAGAGAGATGGGAGATGGGGGTGCACAGATAGAGAGAGATGGGGGGGGTGCACAGAGAAAGAGATGGGGGAGTGCACAGAGAGAGAGGGATGGGGGGGTGCACAGAGAGAGAGGATAGGAGATGGGGGGGGTGAACAGAGAGAGAGGGATGGGGGGGGCGGGGTACACAGAGAGAGAGGGATGGGGGGGTGCACAGAGAGAGAGAGGGGAGATAGGAGATGGGGGGGATGCAGAGAGAAGGATGGGAGATGGGGGATGAACAGAGAGAGAGGGATGGGAGATGAGGGGGGTGAACAGAGAGAGAGGGATGGGGAGGCGGGGTGCACAGAGAGAGAGGGATGGGGGGTGCACAGAGAGAGAGAGGGATAGGAGATGGGGGGGATGCAGAGAGAGGGATGGGGAGATGGGGGGTGAACAGAGAGAGAGGGATGGGAGATGGGGGGCACAGAGAGAGAGGGACAGGAGATGGGGGGCACAGAGAGAGAGGGACAGGAGATGGGGGGCACAGAGAGAGAGGGACAGGAGATGGGGGGGGGAGCACAGAGAGAGGAAAGGGAGATGGGGGGTGCAGAGAGAGAGGGATGGGAGATGGAGGGTGCACAGAGAGAGGGGATGAGCGATCGGGGGTGCACAGAGAGGGGGATGAGAGACGGGATATGGGGGTGCACAGACAGATGGAAGATGGGGGTGCACAGAGAGGAATGAGAGAAAAGAGATGGGGATGCACAGAGAGATGGATGATAGATGGGGGTGCAGAAATAGAGGGATGGGAGAAAAAAGATGGGGGTGCAGAGAGAAAGGGATGGGGAGAAAAGAGATGGGGGTGCACAGAAAGAGAGATGAGAGAAAAGATGGGGGGTGCACAGAGTAATGAGAAATGTGGGTGCATAGAGAGAGGGATGACAGAAGAGAGATGGGGGTGCATAGAGAAAGGGATAGGAGAAAAAAAAAGATAGGGGTGCACAGAGAGAGGGATGAGAGTCGGGGGGGGTTGGGTGCACAGAGAGGGATGACAGAAGAGAGATAGGGGGTGCACAGAGAAAGACATGGGAGAACAGACATGGGGGTGCACAGAGAGAAGGATGAGAGATATGGGGGTGCACAGAGAGACAAATGGGAAATGGGGGTGCACAGAGAGAAAGATGAGAGTTGGGAGTGCACAGAGAGGGATGACAAAAGAGAGATGGGGGTGCACAGAGAGAGTGGGGGGTTGGAGAAGAGAGATGGGGGGTGTAGAGAGAGAGAGGGGGGTTGGAGAAGAGAGATGGGGGTTGTAGAGAGAGAGAGAGGGGGGTTGGAGAAGAGAGATGGGGGGTGCAGAGAGAGGGATGAGAGATGGGGGTGCACAGAAAGAGATGAGAGAAAAGATGGGGGTGCACAGAGGGATGAGAAATGGGGGTGCATAGAGAGAGGGATGACAGAAGAGATATGGGGGTGCACGGACAGAAGGGAGATGGGGGGTACACAGAGAGAGGGATGACAGAAGAGAGATGGAGGGTGAACAGAGAGAGGGACGAGAGAAGAGATATTGGAGTACACGGAGAGATGGATGAGAGATGGGGGTACACAGAGGATGAGAGTCGGGAGGTGCAGAGATATTGGGTGGGGGGTACCCATAGAGAGAAAGTTGAGGGAAAAGAAAAGAAAGATGTGGGTGCAGAGAGAGAGGAAAGACAGAAGGGGGTTCATGGAGAGGGATGAGAAATGGGGAGTACACAGAGAGAGAAGGATGAGGGATAAGAAGAGAGAGATGGGGTGCACAGAGAGAGAAGGAAGAGATGGGGTGCACAGAGAGAGGAGAGAGAGATGGGGTGCACAGAGAGAGGAGAGAGAGATGGGGTGCACAGAGAGAGGAGAGAGAGATGGGGTGCACAGAGAGAGAAGAGAGATGGGGTGCACAGAGAGAGAAGAGAGATGGGGTGCACAGAGAGAGAAGAGAGAGGGGTGCACAGAGAGAGGAGAGATGGGGTGCACAGAGAGAGAGAATGGGTGCACAGAGAGAGGAGAGAGAGATGGGGTGCACAGAGAGAGAAGAGAGATGGGGTGCACAGAGAGAGAAGGAAGAGATGGGGTGCACAGAGAGAGAGGAGAGAGATGGGGTGCACAGAGAGAGAAGGAAGAGATGGGGTGCACAGAGAGAGAGAGAAAAAGGAAAGCAAGGTGAATACAGAGGAAGGGAGGCGGCAGCAGAGGGGGGCTGTGTGGGGCGCAGTGAAGTCTGGTCTCCCGATTTGTAGAATATTATTTTTCCATCCAATAAATGACATTTTTTTCTCTGCCGGTGAAGACTTAAGAGGAAGTGCCGCCTTGGATGTCTCATTACTAGAGGTGCCCATGGCAGAGGGTCAAGGTTTGGACTTGTGGATTCGTGCGAGGGGCTGTATATATGGGTTGTATATAGAGGCTGTATATAGGGGCAGTATATAGGGGCAGTATATAGGGGCAGTATATAGGGTCAGTACATAGGGGGCTGTATATAGGGTCAGTACATAGGGGCTGTATATAGGGGCAGTACATAGGGGCAGTATATAGGGGCAGTATATAGGGTCAGTACATAGGGGCAGTACATAGGGGCAGTATATGGGGCAGTACATAGAGGTAGTATTATAGGGGCTGTATATAGAGGCTGTATATAGAGGTAGTATATAGGGGCAGTATATAGAGGCTGTATATAGGGTCAGTATATAGGGGCAGTATATAGGGTCAGAACATAGGGTCAGTACATAGGGTCAGTACATAGGGTCAGTATATAGGGTCAGTATATAGGGTCAGTATATAGGGTCAGTATATAGGGTCAGTATATAGGGTCAGTATATAGGGGTCAGAACATAGGGTCAGAACATAGGGTCAGTATATAGAGGCTGTATATAGGGTCAGTATATAGGGGCTGTATATAGGGTCAGAACATAGGGTCAGTACATAGGGGCAGTATATAGAGGCTGTATATAGGGTCAGTATATAGGGTCAGTACATAGGGGCAGTATATAGAGGCTGTATATAGGGTCAGTATATAGGGGCAGTATATAGGGTCAGTACATAGGGGCAGTATATAGAGGCTGTATATAGGGTCAGTATATAGGGGGCAGTATATAGGGTCAGTACATAGGGGCAGTATATAGAGGCTGTATATAGGGTCAGTCAGTATATAGGGGCAGTATATAGGGGCAGTACATAGGGGCAGTATATAGAGGCTGTATATATAGGGTCAGTATATAGGGTCAGTATATAGGGTCAGAACATAGGGTCAGTATATAGGGGCAGTATATAGGGTCAGTATATAGAGGCAGTATATAGGGGCAGTATATAGGGGCAGTACATAGAGGCTGTATATAGGGTCAGTATATAGGGTCAGAAACATAGGGTCAGTATATAGGGTCAGTATATAGGGGCAGTATATAGGGGCAGTATATAGGGGCAGTATATAGGGGCAGTACATAGGGGCAGTATATAGGGGCAGTATATAGAGGCTGTATATAACGGCAGTATATAGGGGCAGTATATAGGGGCAGTACATAGGGGCCCGGTCCTCTGATCAGGGAGGCTGGAGTTGTAGTATCCTCCATGCGTTCTGAAGACTACATCGGGGAGGTTTGGCCGGCTCCTCCTGTATAGTTCCCTATGAAGCAATTACTTGGTGGAATGCAGCACACAGCATGAACCTGACGTCCACCTGGGCTCGGTTCCATTCCACACATTTTGACTTTCTGTGAGAATGTTTTTGTCACGGTTTGGTTGTCATACATTTCTCACTAGGCCTCTGCGCCCTCTTCCTGCTGTGCAGCGATTTCCCCTCTCGGCTGTATTGGAGAAGCACGTCTGTTGATCAGAATTCGGTGGGTTCTCCTGCAT